TAAAATTAATTTATATATATATATATATATATATGAAGAGGGATCTGATTATTCTAGGAGTAAGTTTACATCAAATTTTAACAATCAAACCGTTAAATTTAAAGTTCTTAATGCATAGATCACATCTGCAAATTTTTAAAAAATTTGAAAATTATTTAATACTTTGTTTCTTTAATTCAAATCAATGTATAAAATAATTTTATGTTATCTGTCAATTTAAATTAATGAAATAAAGTATCAAATAATTTAAAAAACTTGCAGATTTAATTTATGCATTAAAAGCTTTAAATTCAACAATTTAATCATTAAAATTTACTATAGAATATGAGTTATTAAACGGAACAAATTTAAGTAGACTTATTTTTAAATATACGGATCCTTTCTGTCTCTATATATATGTTTACAAATGCTTCTAAACTTATATTCAAGCAAATTCTGAATCTCACTCACGTATACAACTTAATCTTTTAATACATAAAAATATATTCTCTCATCTTTCAACTTAGTCTCTCACCTAATCATCACCTTTCCATCATTTTGAGTGGATTGGTTTCTGAAATGAGACTTACTTAAAGAGTTATTTCTTCTCTATCTTACAAAATGTTGAAGGATAATAAATTTGACTCTTCCTTTCATCCTTCTTCCTTCCACTTTCATTTGAAATAAGCGTAGCCTAACAAAAATAATTAAATACATTTTAGAAAATAAGGAACTAGACCTAATTCAATCTAAAACAATTTAGAAAGACTCATTTTTTTTTTTCATTTGCAGTTTATTTTAAAATTTGATATTTTGAAAATTTCAAACTGTTTTCTGTATTTTTATTTTAAGTTAAAAGAAGAAAAAAAATGAAAAAAAAAAATTCCAACCCACTAAAAAACAGGCATAAGTCGGAAAGGCTTATGTGAACTATGAAACGTACCCAAGCCCAAAAAAGCACCAGGCTAACTATTCTAATAAAAACATACGGCTCTTGTATATACACCTCCTTTTTTTTTTTTTTTTTTTTTTATAAGTACACCTCCTTCTTTTAAAAAAAAATTATAAAAAATTATAACTTTTTTAAAAAAAATTAATTTTACACTTTCAACTTTCAATTTACTATTTTCTTCTTCTTATTCACACACTTTTTTTTTCTCTTTCAATTTTCACATGCTACCAAAATAGGTGAGGTGAAGGAAAAATAAGGAGGTGCATGTAAAAATTGAAAAAAAAAAAAAGAAGAAAGATATGTAATAAAAAAAAGTACTAAATTAAATGTTATGAATGTAAAATTAAAAAATTTAAAACAAAAAATTAAAAATAATATAAAATTTTAATTATTTTTTTTAAAAAAAGGTGTACTTATAGAAAAAAGGAGGTGTATATATCATGAACCAAAACATACCATAAGGCTTAGACCAAAAAATCAAACCTTAATAAAAATGGGCTTAAGAACACAATAAAATCACTTCAGCTCACTATTCTAATTTACCATTCTTGGTCCATTGGGTTTGACCCAAAACTATACCATTTTCGCCGGCTTTACCTCTAGTTTATTATTCCTTAAAAAAAGGGAGAAAAATCAATTTAAATATAGACATTAATTTTTTCTTCTAAACTATACTTTTGTCTCTTTATTATACAAAATTATTATTTCTATTTTTTTTATATTCATATTTTTATAAACTTGTTTAGTTGATATTTAGTAATTTCAGAAACAAATTGAAAAAGTAAAAGTGGAAGAAAATATGTGATAAAATAAATGAAAAAAACAAATGATTATTGTAAAAGTATATTTTGTTTTAATAAAAATATAAGATACTCGTCTTTTAATATAAAGTAAAAAAAATATGAATATAAATATTTCACATTTCTAAGAATGAACAATATCTAAAAATAATTTTTCGAAATTTAGACTAAATATATGTAATATTCTAAAATTTAATTTTTTGAAAAATATCTTTTTTGATAGTTTAAAACAAACGCCACCTTGTTTAATGAATCTCAAGTAAAGTAAGACAAAACCCAAAAAAAACACCACATTATCCATTTTTTTTTCTCTCTCTTCTTAATGTTATTACATAAAGTGCCATGAAAATGACACATTGTATGGAAAAAAACAGAGAGTGGCGAAGCACAGTACGTGGCAGCTTGCACCGGTTCTTCTGATGATCCCTTTTCTGAAATTAAAAAAAAAAAAAAAAAGTGTTGATCGATGAGAAGAGAAGAAAAAGATGGAGCTATGGAACAGAGCCCGAAGCTTTGCGGAGGAAGCAGCGAAACGATCCCAGGATCTGTCGTTGGGAGCTTCAGCTTCCAAATTTGCAGACATCATAACAGAGACCACCAAAGAGATCGCAGCACAAGCTTCCAAGCGTTTGCCCCAACATTATTTCAAAAACGACGTCGATCTCATCACTTTTGGCATCACCGAAGAGTTGAGGGAATTCGTCAGAGGGATCACCATCGCCACCTTTGAATATTTCCCCCTTCAAGGTTCCTTTTTTTTTTGTGTCTCTCTATGGATTAGGGTTAACTGCAATTCATGGTTGCTTTGCGCAAAGTCAAAATTAGAGATAAAGTGAAAACGGGACCGTTTTATTCTCAACCATTTTCTTTTTCTTTTTCTTATTTAAAACGCGTTTTAAATAACAAAGTTTCCGTCATTAACAAACACTTAGTTCGTTACTGATGCTACCTTTCACGTTTGAATTCTGTATCATTCTGCGGCCACTTCTTCATCTCAAAAGCTTATCTCAGTTTTCATGTCATTTGCAGATGATACGGATTTGTCTGATGTTCCTGCAGTTTCAAATATTAGGCAGGATCTAACCGAGTGGCAGCAAAAACATGCAAGCCTTGTTCTTTCTACAGTCAAGGTAGCATTTTTTTTTAATGTGTATTTGTGGATTAGAATGTTATCAAAGCTATGCAGGCCATGGGTACTTTTTTCAATGTTAATTAATGCACCTACAAGTAGTTACAGATGAGATGACAGATAAAAAAATTTGTGTCCTTAATGGCAAGTGCCTAATATTTATTTATCTATCAACTTGTTCAGAAAATTACTCGACCAGGATACTTGGTAAGTTTGAACTGACGTTTGGGGTAAAATAGTATCATGGAGCAATGGTTGTGAGCCTCAAACATATAAATACTCGCAATAAGTTATAGAGTGCATACGAGATTCAAATATCGTGAATAATTTATGCGTTTCAATTAGTGTTGACCTTTGTGTTCTAAGAGGTTTTTCTGTGTACGTATATCGGTATGTGAGAAAGACAGGAGGGAAAGGGATAGAGCAACGGTGGAAGAGTTAAGAACCCTGAATTGTAGCTAGGAGAGTTATGGTTGTCCATTTTCATGCTCCTGTAACTGTCACCTTGTTAGATCCACTTGTGATAATTGGTAACATGCTGCCATGGTAGAATCATAAGATGGGTGGTATTCTGATATCTAATTTTGTTGGAGCAAATCATTGGGTCAAAGACATTGCTTGTTTTTGTGTTAATCTAGCATGAATAAAGTAAAATATGTCACCTATGTATATGTGTTGGTTTGTGTGTACATGTTATATTTTTTATTTTTGATAATCAAAGGGGCTAAAAGCCCGAAACACTAACTATTAAAATTGGAGGAAGCAAACAAGTCTGCTAATAACAATTCCTGAATACAACTAGGAGGAGCATTAAATACTGCAATATTCTCCTCAGAAACTATCCTATTTTTACACGTTATATTGTATTCTATGTTGATTACTTTTTTTCTTGCAATCACATATTTGAAACATAATGTGCTCCCACTATTCAGTTTATTCTCTGTTGCAGGAGATTTCAAGATTGAGGTATGATCTGTGTCCACGAGTCATGAAAGAGAGGAAGTTTTGGAGAATATATTTTATACTTGTGAATAATCATATTGCACCGTATGTAATTTATCTTGTTGCTTGAGTATTTTGGTTTTCACATTAAATATTGTTACTCTCACTGTCCCACATGAATCATTTATACAGAATTGTGTGGTCTCTGTAGTCCGAGAATACTAGAGGGTCATGTATTATGTGCAGGTTTTCATGAAAACGGGTATTTTAGCATATACGATGTACATACATGTTTATCATATATAATTAAAATTTATAATAAATCATATATATAAATGAATACTATATTTGAATATATAAATTATATTTAAAATTAGTATACATAAAATATTTTTAAACATATAAATTATATTTTAGATTCATGAAAAATAATTTATGTTGTAATAAAAAAATTGATAATTTATTTTGAAATATTAATATTTAATTCATAATAATTAAGATAAATAAGAACCAAATTAGATAAAAAGTTAAAAAAAAAACCTACAAACCCTCTTGTTGAAAAAAGTATCTAAAAATACTCTTGCGTAAGATAGAGGTTTGTGCTTAATATATGGAAGTTGATTTTATCAAGTATGCTGTTTTTTAATAGTAAATACTTAAATGATTACTTCTAATTTAGAAGATAGGAATGTACATAAGTAAAATAAAAAAGGAATGTACTTAAGTCTCCATGGTTCCCAAAATTTGAAATACTCTCATCCTGGAGATATATAAATATGCACACTAAGAGATTGAAAGGAGTTTCTGCTGTGATAATATGAGCACTTAAAATTTTGAAAAATATGTTAGAGTTTTAAATGAGAGCTCATACAGGAAGCTGAATGCTGGTTGAGTTTTTGAAAATAATTATTGTACGGTATAATAAAAAAATAATTGTTGGATATGCATAAATTACTAATAGCAATGATTTTAGCAGATTCTGGTTACACTCTTAAAAAAATAATATATTTGTGGGAAAACACCACGCTAGTTATACTTGCACATGTGTTATATGAAGTGCATCTAGAAATTAACTCATTCTGCTGCTCTTTAACTTTAGTTTATACTGTTATAGTTATGCTGTTTCTGACATTTAGTAAACTTTTTGTCTTATGATTTCTAACAGCTATGAAAATCGGTACATGGAAGAAGAAAAACTAAAATCATCTGAACAAGATCACAAAGTGATGATGAAATCCTTAAGCACTGAATTGAACTCTAATCAAGAGGTGCAGGAAGTGAAAAAAGAGACCAAATCTTCAAAACCATCAACTGAGCAAGACTTGGATGTATTTCTTCTGGGAGGAGACAGTGATGATGAGCCTGGTATACCTTACTAATTTAATCTATTAAAATTTGTTATTTATTTCTGAAAAATATACTTGTGTATTGTGTATACAAGTTTGCTACATCTCCATCTGTATTTGATATAAAAAAAAATTAAGTGCCAGAGTAATTTAAAGGAGATTAACCATATAGGGAAAACAGATAGTTATGTCAATTGCCAAATCATATAATTTTGCATTCCTCATGTCTGGATGATTAATGAGAGAAGAAAGAGCAAGATAAAAATGTTCTGAATTTTAAGTATAATTTTTTTCAATGTAACCCATTTTCAAGTAACTAAATTTGTAGGTTAAATAGTTGATCACAAGCTTTTAAATTAAAAGCAAAGTTCTTTACCTTCATTATTCATTAGTTTGGTGAGCAACAAAAAGTGAGAGCTTGAGGGGTTATTCCCTTTCCCTGTTTTCTCCTTCCACCCCTCATCCAAACAAGTAATCTAGTTTAAACTCTTTACTTTCTAAATTAATGCAGACAGAACTAAAGCTAAGCCAACTAGGAGCCTGTTTGGATATAAGACATAAGTGTTATTGGGAGTTTCTCTACTGAAAATAAAGAGTTATTTCTGGTAGAAAAGCTTTCAAAAACACTTATAAACTTGTATTCAAAGAGACTTTAGATAGACTACCATTTTCTTCATGTTTGCCTGTTTCTCATTCTCAGTCTATACCACCATGTTGTCCAGAGTTGGAGCGTTATATCCAATGGTAGTATGTTCGTTCATTTCTTCATGGGTGAATTTAAATTTTGATGAGCTTATATTTGCCAACAATCTCTGGTCTTTCAGATGATGGGGATGGGGGATATGATGATGATTTGGACAAACTGATGGATAATTCGGTAAGCATGATATAATCTTTAATTCTGTACTGGTTATGGTATGTATATATACACACACTTTACTCAATAGTTATTTACGATTATGCTAGCAAACTATAACTTTAGATTTATTAAAATTTTGGCTTAATTGCACTTTTTGCCGCCAAAGTTTCATGATTTCGCAAATTTTGCCATCCAAGTTTTGAATTTGTATATTTTGTCATCTTATTAAGTTGACCATTGACGTAGCATATCAATTGCTAATGTATTATGTTATGTCATGTCATTATCCATATGTCACATCAGCAATTTATACTAGCAATTAACTTTTTACGTTAGTGGACAACTAACATAGACAGATAGTTAATTAATGGAGTGACAAAATATGCAAATTCAAAAGTTGTGGCCAAATTTGCGAAATTGTGAACCTTTGATGGAAAAAAGTGCAATTAAACCTAAAATGTTTCTGAAACTGTAGCTTATTAATATATTTCTTTTAAATAACAGGTTAAAGTATATTAGCAAACCCCCTTGTTTGTCTCTTTTTATTCCTTTAGTAAATGTTCTCTCTAATAAATTAAAAAAAAAAATCTTCATTATCCTAGAAAATGCTTGTCTAGGCTTCACAAAAAAATTACAATTTGAAATACTTTTGGGGGATAATTTAAAATTTTGATCCCTACACTTGATGCTACTTTTCGTTTTTGTTCCTAATTGAAAATATATTTTTACTTCTACATGAAAAGTTGAATACAAAATGGTCCGTCATTTGCTAATGTTATAACTCTGATAGATTTAGTCCTTATACTTGCCAATATTTTTGGATTTTGTCTCTATACGAAACAAATATACACTTTGTTTGATCCTTGCAAAATAAAAGAGAGAAATTTCTATTATGATCCATAAACTTGACATACTTTCTTTTTTGTTTCAATCCTTACAGGAAAAAAATTCTAACACTATAATGTTGACAAACAATGGAGACTGATATGTAAATATATTTTTATTTAGGAATCAAAATAATGTAAAGACTAAACAAAACACATTGCTAGCCTAGGCATAGAGACCAAACTTTTAGTTGATTAATGACAATTGTCCTGTTGGGATTTTTCACCCAACCTCCGCCCAGTACAATTGGTTAATCAAGTGTGTAAATATGATTTTGTCTTATAATTAAATAATAATAAATGAATATGTTTATATATAATTATCAATTTTTACTTGTTTCACTACTAGTTAAATATGCCTTACAGCTGGTTAATAGTATTATGGTCATTGAAATGTCTAACGGTGATTAACTGTCTTACAAGTAATATATACTTGTCACTCTAATCGTTAAATGTCTCATAAGTGATTAATAGAATATGAGGCTATTGAAATGTCTAACAATGATTGACTGTATCTTAAAAGTGGTTAATTGTATAGGTGGACATTGGGTGGACAATTCACAAGTGGACAATTATAATTCTTTTTAATTTAACCTATTTTAGGGTTGACATTTTAGGTAAGCACTTGATCACCTATTTAATATTTGAACTTGAGGTTGCGGTTAAATCTAATTATTTAGTAAATTTACTCGATCAAGCCTCTTTTTTGGTTGGATAACAAAGTAGAAGAAAGGTTTTCCACATTTGAAATAAACAACTGCTTACTTTTGTAAGGCCATAATCCTAACCTTTGTTGTAAGGACTAAGGACGTTAATCTTCACTTGTGTTAGAATTTGGAAACGATGGTGCTTGCTTACTATTATAAAGTGTGGTATGATGACTGACTTGACTTGCATAGACCTTGGCAGTTGGCAGTAAAAGATGAATCTATTTTGGTCTGTAAAAGACTATTGAAACATATCAGATACTCTTTTGCCCATAATAGAAGATTTGTTTGGCCCAATTGGAACTTCATTTTGGTCTGAAATTTTATTAAACCGTCCATTGATTTTGGCGGCATTTATATTTACTAATTTATTTTAGAGCTTACTTAAATGTACAGGACGATGAGAAAGGGAAATCATAGATGTTGCTTGAAATTATTGGGTGACATTAAATAAGTGGTTGCAACATGCCTGAGAATATTCATGATGAAATATGAGGCTTAATTTATTGATGCGACACATACGGTGGCTGATCTGTTCCATGATGCCTACATTTGTTCTTTCAACCCTTTCCTGCCCCTTTATTTATGTGTTAGTGAGGGATGAAGGTTGGGTTTGTGATTATAAAATATGTTAATTATTTGGTGTCTAGTTTTGTTAGTTGTTTAAATGATTGTTCTTTGTATGTAAAAATACATATCAAATGTACCGAAAGGAAAAGGAAAAATAATAGATATTGCTTGTCCCATGATGTGTGTGTGTGTATATATATATATATATATAAATTTTTATTAGGATTTTTTTTCCTCTTTATTATGCCAGCCATGTATATCTATTTAGATCATATTGTATTGAGAAGCAAGGGGGAAATTAAGATAAAGGCCTGTTTGGTTTGTGGTTAGACAGCCTCCTCCCTTCCCTGCTTTTTGATGTATTTTGCCTCTAATGTGTGCATTAGATAATGTAAAGGGATACTAGAAAAAATTTAGCCGAGTTTATGTAAGTAATTTACGACATTTTAAAAAATGTATATTTTAATAAATTTTATGAAGTTGGTTGTCAAGATAAGATTTTTTCAGTTTATACAATGTTATTATTTGATTTGATATTTGATAGTAACTTATTTTATGATTTTTTTAATTAAATTGTTTATTCAGAAGTGTCTAGAATCAAATTTGGGTTTCGAATTTGATTTTAGTAGCTTCAGCGTGAAAGTAACATTTTATTGCTTTTCTTTAAATAAAATTTCATTTATATGTATATTAAAATTTATTATAATTTAATATTAGATTAAATTAAAATAAAATCAATTAAGGAAAGTTGTATTCTTTTAAAAAAATAGTTATACATTTAACAGTGATTTCAGTATTATTAATCAAATAATATATATTTTGTTAGAATTACTCTTCAAATAATATTTTCAAACTTATTTATTTTCTTATTTTTAATATTATTAATCAAATAATATTTATTTTGTTAAGAAAATAAATCAATTGGCCTACATGTGCTTTTATCCTGAATTCCTTTTCCAAAGTCAAGGATTGTAAATTCTAACTTAAGCAAACTACAAAAATCGAAGAGCTAATTGGAAACAGTAACATGAAATTCAGGGTTTAGGGGAATTTTGACCAATAACCATCATTCTAGCCATCAAGGATCTCGAATGTAGGAATGTTCATATGTGAATGTCCTGTGATGTCATTTGTAGACATGCTTTTTCGTATTTTAATCACATCTAATAATTTTAAACTGGTTTATTAAAAATAAAAATATATTACTACAGGAAATTAGTCCAGAAACCACAAGTTGTGTGTTTCATTTTGATGAACCAGAGTGGGATACGTTTGATCTTATTGCTTCAGTGTCATTTTCCCTGGAAACTGCCATTTTAATTTTTAATGGGCTCTAACATCGATATGAGTCTGAGAGATGCTGACAAATAAAAAGCCTTAGTGCGATTCAATTTCAAAACATTGCTTATAACCCACAATAAAAATACTAGTATAAACATATTAAAATAGCAATGTCTTCGTTCAATTAGCAATCATGTGTTTTCAGATTATTATTTTTGCTAAATTCTTCACTATTCTTGTTTGCTTCTCTATTTGGCGTGTCTATCATAAAGTTTTTAAAAAAAATTGCTTTTTTGTTTTGAATTATGTATAGTCAATGGCTTATGGCTATGTCCCATTTAGTTGGCCTTGAACTTTTTCCTCACACACATATGGCATGATTAATTGATATTTTCTAAAATATCTGTATCTTAAATAATTTTAACATTTTTTTTATCAATCTAACTACTAGATTGGTAGTTCTGATAACATTGATCAAGTGTATGAAAGTTCATACAATTTAAAATTAATTAATATTTCTTCACATTTTTATTTTAATAAATAATATGTTACTTAAAATATAAATATATTTATTTTATTGTATACTTATAAATATTTAAATTATTTAAGTATAATACATAATTATCAAAATAATATTTTATAACTAACATTAAGATTAATAAAAAAATTATATATATAAAAATTGCCATTTTTATCAAATTTAATGGGTCCTAGTTCAATCATTTGGCATTTGGCAAGTCTTATTATTTAGCAGTAGTTTTGTTATTTTGTGTGTTGGACTGTTGGTATTGTTTATTTTGTAGGCTTTGCGATAATAGCATTACCATGTCCATATCTTATTATTTTTCTTCGATTTATTTAGTCAGAAACCAACTAAAATTGGCATAATTGAATGGCTGCTTATGAGAAATAATAGTTTGGAATATTCTGCTGGTAGTTTCACTTTCTATCTCTATTTTTGCAAGTTTTATTAAGTTCCAGCTGGATAACTTTAAATCATGTGACCACCTACTTAGAGCCAAATAACTGATGCTGCTACTTTTTTTTGGTAGCTTTATCGCACATCTCCTTTTTTTCCCTCAAATGAGAGAGGGAAAGCACGTTCACTTGTCTCAGGATAAGATTAAATTGTTTATGCAAATTAAGAGTCATTTTCCATTAACTCCAACATATGCTTCTCTTTTTTTCATTCCCTAAATCCCATCATAACCCTACCTTTTTCATTTTACTTTTTGTAATCAATCATGGGTCTACCCTGTAATTCATACATTCATGCTCATGGCTATCTCGTTGTGTTTTATACTTCTTTTTCTTCTTATTTAATTGTGTTCCATCTAAATGTGAATCGAGAAGATGACACCAGGAACAGGAGTAAACTTAAAGTAACGAGAATCAAAAGAAACTTAAAAATATTAGCGTATTTTTGTTTTCTCATGCATATTGCCGTTCTATGTCATCAATTTGTATATCTAATCATAACTTATTAGGAACTATGAACTTTTTGTTCCCAAGGCAAACGAGAGAGGATTTTCCATATGTTTTTTAATAAACTTTTACGAATTAAATAAAGCTTAGTTAGCTTGCTTAAATTGTCCACCCCGGTTTTTATTTCAAGTGAGGGGTCCATTAATTAAACTAATAATTAAAATTAAATTATGTATAATGTGCAAAAGTTAATAACTGAACCGTCCTTAACTCAGAAAAAAAAAAAGGAATTATGTATGAGATCCATGTGTTTGAAGGATCGTTTTTTTAGAGTGATGTTTAATACTAATTGGCATATGAATTATTCCAAAATATTTATTGTATTAAATATAAAGAAAAAGTACAAATTTTTTTTTATTACGATATTGATATGAAGTATTTATCATTAAAAGTAGTGACAAACTTTTATTAAAGATAATAAGTGTATTCAAGATGAATATTTTTCTTTTAAATTAGTTTATTTTATACTTTAGATAAAAATTCAAATTTTGAATATTTTAATTAAGAGACATAAATTATTATCACTTATTAATAAAAAAGAGTACATCTTATTTTAAATCAATCATATCTCAAATTGAAATATATATAGAAAGAGAGTGGTTATCTTTGCTTATGCATAAGTAATTCCAAGTTTGATTTTTAAAACTTCCTACCCAAAAGAGGACGGTCTAGTGATATTATTTTTGGATGGGTACAAATTCTACTGATTAATATTATTTTTCTGCGTAGACCTTAACTAATTAATTAGGTGGAGTTTGAATTAGTCTTTTTCCGTAAGGCTTAATGGAAATGTTCAATCAATTCAAGATACCCATTCCATTTGGGCATGTTATATAGGTTTTTTGAGTCTGAATTACTCTATCCCAATCCCATCCAAGTTGAATAAATAATTAGTTGAGAAATGATAAAGTCAAGTCAGCTCTCGAGTTGGATTACTACAATTAGTATTATTAATCTGTATTTCGTATGATATATATAACTATTCAATTTGAATAAATATAAGAATGTACCCATTCCACACAACTATTGCTATAAATTCTACTCATTACGTCACTTGTTCAGAACAAGGGTGGATTGCTACTCGTGCACATGGACCTCCACATTATTTTATTTCTCTTCATTTACATGTGACACTTTTAAAAACAATTTAATACAGTGTTTAATTCAGTTTTTCTTAGATTTTTTTTAAATATGAAATTTATTTTTAATTAGTTTGTATATATTTCTATTTTTGTTTAATAAAAATGCTTGTTTTTTGTATAAAAAAAATAGGATTCACCTGGTCAACTATTTTAATTGTAATAAAAAAAAATGTAGTCTTTATTTAAATTTCATTCGTATTTATTCTTTAAAAATGTAAAAAAAAAACTCTTATATGTTAAAAACGAATATCATTCTCATGCAATTACGTTTTTAGAAAATTTTGTTTGATAAACTTTTTTTTTAAATATCTAATCTTATTTATTTTAAAATGACACTAATTAAATATTCTATTAATTTTGTGAAATACATTAAATGTAGATATTTTGAATGACATTCATTCCAAATTAGTGATTAGAGAGAAAAATATTAATTAGGTGAGAGGACTAGTATAAGACATTCAGTTTGTTTAGAGAGAGGATTGTTAAATTAAGAAACAATAGTAGTATAAGGATAATTTAAAAATAAAATATAAAAAATATAAATTTATTATTATTAATTAGATTAATCATTTTTCTTAAAGTTAGCAAATTAATTAATTAGATCCTATATATAAGAACAAAAGTAGGATTTTTTTAGTTGAAACACACCATAATGTTACTTATATTTATAGTCTTGACAAAGTAGTGATGGGTGAATTAATATAATTTGAAGAGAATAATATAAACATTGG